TCAGCATCATCATCACCATCATCATCATCATCATCCTCATCCTCATCCTCATCATCATCATCATCAGCAGCAACATCATCATCATCACCATCATTACCAGCATCATCATCATCATCGGCATCATCGTCATCAGCAGAAGCATCATCATCATCCTCCTCCTCATCATCATCGTCATCATCAGCAGCATCATCATCATCGTCATCATCAGCATCAGCATCGTCATCCTCATCATCATCATCAGCATCAGCATCATCATCATCATCATCAGCGTCATCAGCATCATCATCATCAGCATCAGCATCATCAGTATCACCATCAGCATCATCATCAGTATAGTCAGCATCATCAGCATCCGCATCATCATCATCAGCATCATCATCAGCAGCAGCATCAGCATCAGCATCATCATCATCAGCATCATCACCACCACCACCACCATCATTATCATCATCACCATCAGCAGCATCATCATCAGAAGCAGCAGCAGCAGCATCATCGTCGAAATCATAATCAGCATCAGCATCATCATCATCATCATCACCACCATCATCATCATCATCATCACCAGCAGCATTATCGTCATCATCAGCAGCAGCATCATCACCATCATCATCATAATCAGCATCACCACCAGCAGCATCAACATCATCATCAGCATCGGCATCATCACCATCAGCATCATCATCATAATCAGCATAGTCATCCTAATAATCATCATCATCGTCACCATCATCATCAGCATCATCACCATAGTCATAAGCATCACCATCATCATAATCAGCATGAGCATCATCAGAAGTAGAATCATAATCATCAACATCATCATCATCAGCAGAATCACCATCATCATAATCATCAGCAGCGTCATCACCATCATCATCATGAGCAGCAGCATCATCATTATCAGCAGCATCATCAGCTTCAACATCATCATCATCAGCATCATCAGCAGCAGCATCAGCATCAGCAGCAGCGTAAGCATCATCATCAGCAGCATCAGCATCATCATCACAACCACCATCATCGTCATCATCATCATCATCATCATCATCATCATCATCATCATAATAAACATCATCATCAGCAGCATCACCGGCATCATCGTCAGCATCATCATCATCATCGTCATCATCAGCATCAGCATCAGCATCAGCAGCATCATCTTCATCGTCAGCATCATCATCTTCATCATCATCAGCATCATAGTCATCAGCATCATCATTATCAGCAGCATCATCATCGTCATCATCATGATCATCATCAGCATCATCATCGTCATTACCATCAGCAGCATCATCATCATAATATGTATCATCTGCACCGTCGTCAGCATCAGCATCAGCATCAGCATCATCAGCAGCATCTGCATCATCATTATTATCATCACCATCATCATCATAACAATCAGCATAATCATCATAACCAGCAGCAACATTATCAAAACGTCATCAGCATCATCATCAGCATCATCAGCCTCATCAGAATCATCAGCATCATCATCAGCATCAGCATCAGCATCAGCACTATCACCATCACCAGCATCAGCATCATCATCAGCATCATCATCCTCATCCTCATCATCCTCATCCACATCCTTCTCCTCCTCATCATCATTATCAACATCATCATCATCATCATCATCATCATCATCATCATCATCATCATCATTATCATCATCATCATCAGCATCATCATCTGTATCACCATCAGCAGCATCACCATCAGCAGCAGCAGCAGCAGCAGCATCCCCACCCTTCGCCTCCTCCTTCTCCTCCTCCTCCTCAACCTCCTCCTCCTCCTCAAGCACGTGTTTTCCGCCGCCGCCGCCGCCGAGGCCCCGAAGGACGAAAACCCTGCCATCTTCGTGGCCGTCCAAGAAGGGGGGTGCCCCAGAGACGGGTGCTCACGGACGTGCGCGGACGAGGGGGGGACGAGGGGACGTGATGGAAGAAGAGGAGGGGCCATGAAGTCAGGGAAGGTATCATGGCCCTGGACATGATATCACCCCGCTCGTGAAGGGGGGAAATCGACCTGGAATTGGCAATACACCGCCACTAGAGCGGCGACAGGTCCTAGGCGGGGTTGGGCTATCGAGCCCGTACCCCGATGAACGGGCGACTGGGGGTAGATGCGTTTCCCCCTGAGCGTATCCCCACCTAACGTTGCCCCTGATTCCGTATCAAGGACACGCTGCCTTGGGGAATCCATCAGCGTGTTACTGTTGAAGAAACACCGACCAGATCTTCGGACAAAAGTAAGGGAATAGCACGCTGACGGGCTCCCAACGGAGGCGTGCCATTGGTACTCCTTGCCTCCCGAGCCTCTCCCTGGCATCCGAGCTGCGCTTAACATATCCGCCCCAAGGGCCGCTCTTGCACAGGGACAGACTTTCTGAGCCAGCGCCCAAAACACGCCGTCAACGAAGTCGTCGTTGTCGTCGTCGCCGCCGCCGCCGCCGCCACAGCAGCCGCCGCCGCCGTCGTGACCGTGCCTCCGGAAGGGGACAGCGCGTTTCGGAGGCTGATGGGGGGGGAAAGTGTGGCGCAGCTTGCGACAAAAGGGCTGGCTGGCCTTTGTGTTCTTGTCTGCCTGCCAACAAGGGGGCACTGTTCAGAGAGCCCGCCGGAGGTTTCTTCTCCTCCTCCTCCTCCTCCTCCTCCTCCTCCTCCTCCTCCTCCTCCTCTTCCTCATGTTCCTCCTCCACCTCCTCCTCGTCCTCCTCCACCTCCTCGTCCTCCTCACCCCTCCTCCTCATCCTCGTCTTCTCCTCCTCCTCCTCTCCCTTCTTCCTCCTTCCTCCTCCACCTCTGTCATCATTGTCCATCCTTCCTCCTCATCTGCATACTTCCTCCTTTCTCCTCCTCCTCCTCCTGCTCTTGACCCTCCTTCTCCTCCCTATGTTACTGTTCCTCTTCCCTCCCTCACTCCTCCTCTTCATCATCACCATCATCATCCTCGTCCTCGTCCTCGTCCTCATCCTCCTCTTCATCCTCCACCCATCCCCATCCTCATCTCTGCTCACCCTCTCCCTCCTTCCTCCTTCTCCTCCTCCTAATCCTAAACCACCTCCTCATCCTCCATCCTCCATCCTCCCTCCTCCTCCTCCTGCTGCCCCTCCTCCTCCTCCTCCTCCTCCTCATCCTCCTCGTCCTCCTCCCTTTCCTCCCCCGCCCTTCCCTCCTCCTACTCCTCGTCCTCCCCGACTCCCCGCCTCCTCATGTCCCTGCACGTACGATTTTCAGTGAAAATGGGAAGGGACCGAGGAGGATGTAATAACTTGTCGGCGGCTTCCTGATGTTCTCGGCGTCGAAACACACTGTTGCCAAAAGCGACAAGAGGATTCTCAAAGTGTAGGCATGGCATCGCCCATTTGAAGCTGGCCCCGAGACGGGGAAAGCAGCACCCCGTGAAGAAGTTCGAAAAAATACCCTGGCTAAGAGCTGTCGACGTGTGGCCATGAATTTGGAGGGATACGCGCAGATCAAATGTCCTGGAGCTCCTGCTGGCTCGGAGCGCTGGGCCACCAACAGTGCCACAGCAGCCCCAGAACTTCAGAGAAAATCGAAACCTCTCTGACACAAACATGCATGCCCACCGCTTGTACGCTTCTGACCATCTGTGGACGCAAAGTTCAGGTCCGCCCACCCCCGCTTGCCGCGGGACAAAGAGGGCGAGACGCTTGTCTTCACCCCCAACCACTGTGTCCCCAAATAAACCCACAATATACACACAAACACATACCTGTGGCGTCGCGGCCCCGCGCGCAGCGACGAGGCATAGAAAGCCAAGCCGTGAGAGAGACAGAAAACGCGCGCGGTTGGCCATTCAGACACACAAAATGCGCCCAGGGGGGGGGCGGATCCCTACGGACTCGCCAACTCAGCTTCTGGGCCCGTCGCTCCAAATCCATCATGTCGCCCTCAAAGACGTGAGGTCCCAGCACGAGGACTGGACACCAAAATCATTAGAACATCTGTGTTTCAATGGCGTGTGCTTCCTCGATGTGTTGCTGGCGTGCGCCTCAAACTGACCTGAATTTAATCATGTGGCCCAAGACCGCCCCAGAACGGGACCCCAACTGAACGGCCTCGAGACTCCCGAAGGGGCACTAGAACGGCCCCAAGAGGCACCAAGAGCCTCAAGGGAGCCCCCGAGGCCCCCAAATGGTAGCCTGGCCAAATGCCCAACCACGTGCAGTTGTGAATACCGCAGTTGTAGGTATCGTCTTCGGCGGGGCCCCCGCATAGGGCCACGAAACGCTGCACTGGGCACGGCAGACGCATGCGGACTGCGCCGCTGGGACCCTCGGTGGAATCCCGATGAGGCCACGGAACGCTGTACTGGGTTGGGGAGACGCATGCGGGCTGCGACACTGGGACCCCCGGTGAAGCCCCCTATGGGGCCCCGAAACGTTATACTGGGGTGGGGGTACGCACGCGGGCTGCGCCACTGGGACCTTCTGTGGAGCTCCCTATGGGGCCACGAAACGCCGTACTGGGTGGGGGGGACGCCTGCGGCTGCGACACTGACACATTCGGTGAAGCTCCCTATGGGGCCACGAAACGCTTTACTGAGTGGGGGAGACGCACGCGGGCTGCGCAACTGGGACCTTGGGCTGCGCCACTGGGACCTTCGGTGGAGCTCGCTATGAGGCCACGAAGCGCTATACTGGGTGGGGGGGACGCATGCGGGCTGCGCCACTGGGACCTTTGGTGGGGCTCCCTATGGGGCCACGAAACACTGTACTCGGTGTGGGAGAAGCATGCGGGCTGCGCAACTGGGACCTTCGGTGGAGCTCCCTATGGGGCCACGAAACGCTGTACTGGGTGTGGGAAACGCATGCGGGCTGCGCCACTGGGACCTCCAGTGAAGCTCCCTACGGGGCCTCGAAACGCTGTACTCGGTTGGGGAGACGCATGTGGGCTGCGACACTGGGACCTTCGGTGGAGCTCCATATGGGGCCACGAAACGCCGTACTGGGTGGGGGAGACGCATGCGGGCTGCGCCATTGGGACCTTCGGTGAAGCCCCCATATGGGGCCACGAAACGCTGTAATGGGTGTGGGAGACGCATGCGGGCTGCGCCTCTGGGACCTTCAGTGGAGCGCCCTATGGGGCCACGAAACGCTGCAGTGGGTGGGGGAGGCGTATGCGGGCTGCGACACTCCCCCTCGGGGGCTTGGGCGGCCAAGAAAAGCCGCAAGACTCGGCAAAACTGCCCCAAAATGCCCCCAAGACGGTCCTCGAGGGCCCCGAATCTCCGAAGTACCGGTCCAAGTCGCCAAAGTAGCCTCCACACGGCTCGAAAGGTGTCCAAAACACCCCGAGAAGCCTCCAAGAGGACTTCGGGCAAAAAAATCATCGATTTCCCGTAGGTGTTTGAAAGATTTCGGCATTCTCGCCGTGTCAGCTTCCCGACGCTCCAAGACAGGCCAAGAAGCTCCCAAGACCGCCCCAAGATGGCCTCCAAGAGAGCCCCAAAACGACCCAAGAGGGCCCCAAGACCGACCAAGAGGCCTCCAAGACAGCCGAAGAGGCCCCCAAGACGGCTCCAAGGAGGAGTCCAGACGGGGGACCCGAATGGACATTTCGAGCCCTCGGCCTGAGAAGCTCTCAGGAGGCCCCCTGAGGTCCCTAAGAAGCCTCCAAAGCAGCCCCAAGAAGCCCCCAAGAGACCCCCAGAGACTCCAAGAGGCCCGCATGAGGCTTCCAAGCGGCCCCCAAGAGCTTCCCTAGAGGCCCCCAAACTACCCCCAAGAGGCCCCCGAGAGCGCTCGTCGTTGTCGTCGTCGTCGCCATTCAGGGTCGGCGGCACCGGCCGTAAGGCCTTCGCAATAAATACACACAAATCCCAGGATTCCACATATTTTCCCCTATCTTCTGGGCTTTTGTCTTCCCCCCACCTCCCGTATTTTCCAATATGCTCCTGGGGATCGACGATGAACTGTGTCAGTGTTTTTTTCCCCCTCCTGAGGTAAGGACGCAAGACCCACGGAGGTTCCTTTTACCATTTAGGGTTATGTCGGGCGTGTCCCCCTACAGGGGGATTCTCGACGAAAAATGAAGAATACCTCCAACATAATCAAAAAATAGTCCAAAAATGGTCGGGGGACTATTTTTTCATTATTTGTTTTGACCTTCCTGGGGCATTTTTGGGAGTATGTTTTATTTGTCGTCGAAAATCCCCCTGTAAGGGGGACACGCCCGACATAGATTTAGAGCTCCTTGGACGTCAACGCTGGCTCAGGAGGGGCCGAGAAAAAGCGGAGACGGGAGGGCGACCTGGAAGGGGCCCCAGGGCACACAAATAAGTGCACCCAAAGAGAAGGATCCCCCATATGTTCCCATGCTTCCTGGGCTTCTGTCTTCCTCCTCCTCCTCCTCCTCCTGCTCCTCCTCCTCCTCCTCCTCCTTCTCCTCATCCTCCGCTTCCTCCCCCCACTCCTAGCCCTTTCGATCAGGGTCGGCGGCACCGGCCGTCAGGCCTCTCCAATAAATGCACCCAAAGAAAAGGATTCCCCATATTTTCCCATGTTTCCTGGGTTTCTGTTTTCCCCCCCCACTTCCCATATTTTCCCATATGTTCTGGGAATCGGCGAACAAGTGTGTCTGTGTGCTTCTTCCCCTCCCGAAACCTGGATGAAGCAGCCCATCCTTACCATGGGTTTTGACTCGAGAAGCTCTGGTGACAACCAGCTGAGAGGGATGCTTGCTCCTTCAGTTCCTCCAAATGAACTACATCAGAGCCGCAGCCCAGGCAACAGACTTCAGAAAAAAACACCCAAGCCGGAGACGCTTCCCATCAAACTCCCGATTCATCGGACACGCGCCGAGCGCAGTCACTGCAGCTCCTCCTCGAACCTGGCGACAACCGTGGACTTGAAGGCCGCGCCTGCTCTGTTTCGCACGCTTGGCTTCGGCGTCCTTCCCAACCTGTGGCGAGCGAACATCTCCTCTCACGGGGGCGACGAGGAGAATGAGGAAGAGGAGGTTCGGCAGCAGAAGGAGAGCAGGGGTCTGCGACTCCTGTTCCCGGCCGACGCCTGCAAGAAGAACCGCGTGCTCGTCGCTGCATCGCCGGCCTCGCTGCAGCTCGACAGGTACAGCTTGGAGGTGTTGCTGGGGTGATCCACGCCTGGGACGAGCGGCAGCACGGAGGAGGAGGAGGAGCAGGAGGAGGAGGAGGAGGAGGAGGAGGAGGAGCAGCAGCAGCGAGGCACCGGCAGCAGCGGCGGCGGGAGGATGCCGAGGAGAAGCGCCAGCGCCGCGGGCCCCTGCCTCGGCGGCGTGGACGGCCCCTGCCTGTTTCTGACACTGCGCGGACCACTCGGTCCACCCTGCGCGATCCTCCTTCGGCTGCCCGCAGGCACGGTCAGGTCTGAAGGGGCCCTGGGACAAACAAATAAATGCACACAAATAAAAAGATTCCCCATATTTTCCCATATTTTCTGGGTTTTTGTCTTCCCCACCACTTCCCATAGTTTCCCATATTTTCTGGGGAATCGACGATTAATTGTGTCTGTGTGTTTTTGTCCCTCCTGAAGGTCGGGCGTGTCCTCCTGCATGCGGAGCTTGGACGAAAAATTAAAGATACTCCAAGAATACTCCAAAATCATCGAAAATGGTCCGAAAATCGTCCCAAAACTATGTTTTGGACTATGTCTGAATATTCCTCCTGCAGAGGGACGTGCCCGACCTAAAGGTAAGGGTGCCTCTCTGCAAGGGTCCCCGAGTGACCCGGGCGGGGGTGCCCTCTTTGGCGGCGAGCCCAGGGTGGGAGCGAGAAGGAGAAGGCCTCCCCAGAAGGCTCGGAAGTCCGCTGGCCTTCCGAGGGGTTTTCTAATTCGGCCTTTCTCGGGGGCGTCCAAGAGGGGGGGCGTCCAAGAGAGGGGGAAGTGCAAATCATGGGCCGAGGCACGTGCGCGGACCAGGGGGGGGCCAGGGAACGCATTGAAATAAGAAGAGGCGCCATGAAATCTGGGGAGACATCATGGCCCCCGCCATGATATCCATCCCCCCCTCGTCATCACCCCCCTCTTGGCCGCCCCCGACTTTCACGAAGACACAGACAACTTATCGGAAGGTGGGAGGGCTCCTTAGAAGTCCCGCCGCCTTCTGAGAAGGCCTTATCTGACCGGCCTCGAACTTGTCCCTATCCCTAAGATGGGCGAGCAACAAGCGAGGGATGTGCCCCCAGGCACCAGGGGATCCTCGAGATCGGCATCGAGGTGATGTGATGCCAAACATAGGGATACAGGCCTCGGAAAAAAATAGCGAACACTCATGCCACATTCATCTGTGAACGCCTCCCCATCCCCCCAATGTTCAAAGTTGGCGGTGGGTCTGATGAGTTGCACCTCGACCGCAGTCTCCCCCCCACGTGCCAACTTTGAGTTCGGGGGGCAGGGGGGGTGTTCACTAATTGTTTCCCTCTACCGTAGGGATCTGTTTCAAGCTGGTATTTCTGCTATTCCCTTCCCCCCCTCGCTCGCCGCCGATTTTCTTTCGGCTGTACGCGCAGGAGCGGCCCAGGGCAGGGGTGCCCCCTGGTGCGCGGCATATCCGGCGGCAGCGGGGAGGAGGCCAGGTCCGAGCCCGCAGGCCAGCGCTGGGGGGGGGCCTTGGGGGGCCCGCACCAGAGATCACTCCAGCAAAGGCTCCTCCTCCTCCTCCTCCTCCTCCTCCTCCTCCTCCTCCTCCTCCTCCTCCTCCTGCTCCAGCTCCTCCTCCTCCTCCTCCTCCTCCTCCTCCTCCTCGGGTCACTCCTGCGCGTGCCCGACTTCTGTGGACCCTATCAGTCGCACTGGCGTCGCGCCGCGATGCAGTCGGACATAGGACAGAAGAACACCCCACAAGAACATGAGACACTCGGCTGGCCGAGACACCCCAAACCACAAGATCACCGAGGGTACCCCATGCACAAGATCATACGACAAACACGAAGAACATTAGGGTACGTCAGGTTCGTGTCGTGCCGACTTCGGCGTTGGTTTCTGACACAGCGGGGATCGCTCAACCTTGAACGATCGGCCGTTTCCGAAACTCCACATCGTTCCACATCGAACGATTCTGGATCGCCCACGGCGTTCAAAGCTGAACGCAGCTGGATGGGTTGCCGCCGGTCGACACGACACGAACCTACCGTACCCTCCCCGAACCAACCTCGATCTGATACCTCGGTCCGACCGCACGTTCTATGCCAGGCCCCAAGGCCCGAAGTGGGCCCCAGAAGAGTGCTCCACCTCAGCCGCTGGCGCCTGCGTCACCGCCGTGTCGAGGCGGCGCGAACCTGCCGCAGCGGCTCAGGGGATCATGGCTCACTGGTGCCCCGCCTGGGCGCGAAGTACTGGGGGGGCGATACAGTGCAGGGCGGGGGAAGGAAGGTGCCCATGTCGGGCCCTGTGAGCCCCCCTTCTGGGCCCTTGAGCGCCCCAGTGGGGACCCCGAGAAGCCCCCTGCTCTGTGGCCCTCGCTGCCCCCAATGGATCGGCCCCCCGCCCAGCCCGATGCCCAGCCACCGCCCCTGGCCGCGCCACGCGGATCGGCCCCTGGCGCGCCCCCCGACAGCTGGCGCTCTCGGTGGACTCCTGCCGGCGCACGAGTAGGGGGCCACATGCGAACCCTACCCCTGCCCCCCACGATTTCTGAGGGGGAGGGTTCGCATGTGGCACCCTAACGAGACATCGAGACCACCTGGGCAGGGCAGAGCAAATCGAGACCACACGGCCAGCCCGCTGTCCAGGCGGGTTTCCGCGTCGCCTGCGCGGCCAGAGCACCTCGTGTGCCTGGGACCGGGCTCGTGCTGCCAACAAAACGCGGCGACAGGTACAAACAGCAAGAGCTCGAGCACGACAATGACCGTCGGCGCACTCCCAGGGACCACTGGTGCACGGCCAAAAGACCCTATGACACAGTACGAGTTGCCCGCATCTCCCGAGCTCAATGCGACAGGATCGTCTGCAGTCAGTGCGAGTCCGCAGGAAGTCAAGCAGTGCGACCTCATGAATTCGACGAGGACGCCTTGCACAACTACCACGGACTGCGCTACGACGGCACGTTCAACAAGTACGCGATCACAGGTGTCACTCCCCAACGACGTAGAACTTCGATGGGTCCAAGATCCCCGGGGTCTGGTGGCCACAGGCGGCTGGGGATGCAGCAAAGGCCGCCACGCTTGCGCTTGAGGTCGCGAAGCCCATGGCAGCAGAGGACGCAGAGTTGCCTCACGGGCCGCGAAATCCCAGGCAGCAGATGTTGCCCGGGCATGCGCACGAGGCCGCGAAGGCCGATGCCGCAAAGCCGCTGAGCCTCCGCCAGCGACAATGGCACCCGACGATGCAGAAAAGGCCGCAAACGCCCATGCAAAGGCGGCCGCATGGACAGCATGTGAGGCTGCGAGGCCAACGGCAGCACAGGCCGCCATGCCTGCGCCCGAGGCCGCCTGGCATATGTCCGCATCGGCCACCAAGCGCCTGCGGCCCTGACTGGCGAAGGCCGACGGGCACGAGTTTTCGCCTGATCAAGGTCAAACCTACACATCCGCTGGGACTCGCAGCAGATTGAACGAACGAACGAGCCTGTCGTCGTCCAGAGGCCACCCAAGAAAGGCGGCGGGCGCGCCAGACGCGCTGGCCTCCAGCAAGGCCGGATTGCAGAAAGCGGGCGCGAAACGACGAAAACCCAGAGCGAGTCGGCGCCGCTACATGCGGTTTGCGTGCTCGTCTTCAGACTGGTGCCATCACTCGGGCAGCGTAGAAAGCTCGGCGAACGACTCCCGCCCCGCAAAAAAAAACTAGCTGGAGTGCCCTGGGGTCCCTCACAGTCCTCGGTCCTGCATCCTCAGAATTGAAGAGTTCCTATAGGGTCCCTTGCTGGAGTGCCCTATAGGGTCCCTTGCAGTCCTCGGTCCTGCGTCCTCGGGATTGGAGGACTTCGGGGGGGGGTCGTCCCCAAGGGGCGGGAGGGCTGCTAATCGGGGCCCGCGGCACGCGCGCGGACGAAAGGGGGGGGACCACAGGACTCACACGGAAAGAAGAAGAAGAAGCCACGAAATCATCAGGAAGAAGAGGAAGAGGACGAAGAAGAAGAAGAAGAGGAAGAAGAAGAAGAAGAAGGGGCCACGAACTCTGGGGAGACGTAGGGACCCCGGCCATGATGTCCACCACCCCCTACGGACCAGAGAACAAATGGTACCACCCCAACCCCACCCACGGCCCCACGGGCCCTGGCTCATACCAGGACGCCTGGCGTGGGCTTTTGCAGGGTATACGCTGCGACCCCCGATGGGCCGTAGCGCAACATGGAAGGCCGTAGGTGGGGTGGTGTCGCTTGTTTTTTGGGCTGACCCTAGTCATCACCTCCCTCTTGGCCGCCCCCGAATATCATAGGGCCCAGACCCAAAATTTCTCAAGCTCTCCCAGGTTCCCGGCGTGCTTCTCTCGCCGAGCGCCCCAAAAAACGGACCAGCGGAGCCCCAGAGGGGGCCCCCGACCTACAGCTCAGGCACGGTGGCGGGATGGGCCGAAGGCCGCGAGACTCCGTCAGCCCATCGGACTAAATTTTAAACCCATCCCGTGCTGCGGAGGACCAGCCCGACAGGACTGACGCGCCGGTCCGATTTCAGCGGTCGTGGCCGAGGTCGCGCGGCGGACCAGGGCAGGAGGAGCAGGGCAGAGCAGGCCAGCGGGGGGGGAGGGAGGAGGAGCAAGCAGTGGGGGAGATGGGATGAGGGAGGGATGGGGGAGGAAGGAGGAGGGCGGAGAATGGGAGGGGGGTCGGCCTTCCTCCTCCCCCTCTCCCGACCCCCTCCCTAAATCAAAAGCCGCTTAAATCATGATCCTCCTCCTCCTCCTCCTCCTCCTCCTCCTCCTCCTCCTCCTCCTCCTCCTCCGCCTCCTCCTCCTCCTCCTCCACCTTCTCCTCCTCTCCTCCTCCTCCTCCTCCTCCTCCTCCTCCTCCTCCTCCTCCTCCTCCTCTTGCTCCTCCTCCTCCTCTCATTATGATGATTGCGATGTGAAGTATGAATACTCCGGCGGGACGAAAGTTGAGGCCCATTTGCCTTTCCCAGTGGAGTTCCCTCGCGCTGGCGCGGAAGCATTGCCATGCGTCAAAAAATAAGCGGAAGAATTAATCCCC